CCCCAAAACCCCAAAACCCCAAAACCCCAAAACCCCTAATGTAATAAGGATTATTGCAAAATTTTTAGTTGATAAATTTCTGGAGAACTGTCTCTAGGTTGTCTTTATCAATCGGCTTTTGGATGTAGTACATTATTCCTGCTTCTTCGAGGTCATCTGAGAGTTCGGACCATGGCATTGCAGTCAAGGCAATTACAACCATGTTCTTTTGCTCTTCGCCGACTGTTTTCCAGATGAGTTTGGTTGTCTCAAACCCATCTATTTTAGGCATGTTGATGTCCATGAATATGATCTTGTAAAATTTACAACATGAATTGCTCATCTATAATTTTATTTGATTAGATTATACTCTTTTCTTGATCTGGTCAATGGCAGCATAGCCATCGAATACCATATCAACTTTTATATCTATATCTTTGAAAGGAGAGTCTTCAGCCTAAAGGTAAAGGGAATCATACATTAGCATCATCTTTCAAGCTTTTGATCATCATGAAAAGTACTTGGGAGTTGAATGCATTGTCATCAACTATGAGAATCTGGGCGCAGCCACAGGTACGAATCTCTTCAGACTCTTCTATCACATTGCTACTTGAAACTCTTTGGTAGAATTTTTCTGTCTTTCTGCTTTGATGTGAGTTCTATATTCATTATCTCACTCTTACATATTTTGACTCGTCCTTTTCATCCTCGCTTTTGGCTTCACTAATAATTTCTTCTTTAAACTGTTGACTAATCTCAAATGAATTCTTGAAGAGGTCTATTTCTTTATCTCCTTGAAGGCTTTGACCAAATTTGGGTTCACCCATATTCCCAATATCTTTCCCATAAAGTGGCTGGAGGTAGCTAAAAATATCATTCAATGCCTACCTCTTCCTCTTGTTGACCTTGATGCTCTGGTATGCCTTCTTAATCTTGTCACTGGACCGATCCTCTTGTTGAACAGCTAAAATTGTGAAGGAAATAGTACTTCTTTTGCGAAGAATGTTGCATTTTGTTTTATTGGTCATACTACCAAATTTTTTAAGTTTTAAGTCTTTTTCGGGAGAGGATTTCAATTGTGATAGGTCTAGATTATATGAAGAAGAAATATACTCTGGTTCTCAGGCCAGCTTAGAGATTTGCTTGATCTGAGGGAGAGAGCAAGGTTTTTATTTAGACTCCTCTTTTGGGGTTTTAAGTAGGGGAGATCATTTGTGCATGTGTTGTTCAATGCTACTACTTGAAAAAGATTCCACTTGGATATTGAATTTTTGGGTATCATTATGGAGTGCTGAAGAAAATCGCTTTGAAGATACATTTTGCTCGAGGAACAACTTTGGTCGAGATACTTCATCTTCTAAGTCATCCTCAAACTCTTTAGGGACTCCATAGTCACTTAGGTCTTGTATGAGATTATTGGTACTTGGCTTTCCAATTAAGTCAGCCATTTTCATTAATTTGCTTTTTGATTTGAATCTCACTAAACAAAAGCAAATTGTCAAAAATTTCAGAGTCTTTATGAAGAAGCAGTTATATTAAATCTTTATTCACAGTTTAGTAAACTCCAGATGAGTTAAAAAGATCCTAAGAAGTAACCTTACTCTTTGAGTTTTCATAATCCTCTGATATAATTTCTCCAATCGTGAATACTCCATTGGGGTCTATTGATAAAATGATTAGGCTTACTGCAGTCTGGATCTTCTTCAGAATTTTCTAGCTGTTCGATTTCTCTTCTATAGTGTAAAATTACTTTGTTTGCTAACCACAGAGAAGGTCTTTAAGCAGGAGGTACTTACTCTGGGAGACTATTTTCTTCATACATATCAGCCATGAGTTCTTCAAAATCTTCCTCAATATTGCTCATAATATGTAGTTTTAGGTTTTCAGTAGTCAACATAGTGATCTCGTCTGTAAAATCAAAGTCTTCCTCGCTCTGATCTAAGAAATTCAGTGGAATAGCAAAAGTGAAGATACTTCCTCTATTTTCCTTCGAGAAGAAGCATAAGCAACCTCCAATGTTAGAGATGATATTCTGTGCAACTGCTAGGCCGAGGCCGCTGGATGTACTCTGAGTGTAGTCTTCACCTCTGCTCACACCAAAGAGAGTGAAGAGTTTTGATTGCTTATCTTCTGATATGCCATCGCCGGTATCTGCTACTGTGAAGAGCAAGTAGAATTTCTCTATTGTTTCTTCATCTATTTTGAAAGAGATATTGAATTGGGTAATCCTTAGCCGGACCTATGTTATTAGATATGTAAAATACTTTTCCTTGAGTTGTGTATTTGACTGCATTCATAATCAGATTAAGCAAGACTTGGATAATCCTTCTTTCGTCATTTTCAACTTTTAGAGACTCAAATTCGTCTTCAATTTCAAGCTCGAATATCAAGTTCTTTAACTTGGCATGGGGCTCAGAGATGAGAGCAATTTTGTTGAGCAAGTTGAATACAAAGAAAGGAATTCTTTCTTCTCTAAATTCTCCTGTTTCCATCCTGCAGTAGTCCAAGATGTTGTAACTCATATACATCAGCAAGCTTGCTGAAGATTTTCAGATCTCTGCACAGTTCTTTATCATGGGATCAGATTGTTGATTCATCAAGAGCACATCGCATGAGTTAATGATTGCATTTAAAGGAGTTCTAATCTCATGGGTCATCGAGGCAAACATGACCGATTTGAATTTATTCAGTGCTTTTTCCTCCTCTCCTTCCTTAATATCAGTGATGTCTTCAAGCTCGAAGGCGTAGAAATGATCCCCGTTATGTTCAAAGGTCTGTATTCTGAGTAGGTACCCACCACTAGGCTTCTCTTTCTCAAGTCTTGCTTCTGAAAAACCTTCTTGTTCAAGAAGAAGGATGATGTCTTTAAGTTCGTAGTAGTAATCCTCTTCTTCTGTGGCTAGTAGGAATTTGGTCTTGAGAATCTCTTTCTTCTTGAACAGGTTGAAATTTTCTATAAGAGAGCGTCCACTTTGAGATGTGATAATCTTATTTAGGCGGAATTGTAGTGACGATTAGAGGTGTTGGGCATTTTGAGACTATTTTCTCAAACTTTAACAACTTTGATCTTGTCTCTTCGATGGCTGATTCAAAAGGAGCTGTATGATCTTGAATAACTGTTACTATTTCAAAATAAACTAAGATAAACAGAATCAAAGTAGCCCATTCTTGTGTTAGGAATGAGATTGGGTTTATAGCTGGCAGAATGTTGTCATGGATTAAGCTCTTTTTAAGATTATCTGCCATGTTTCAATCAGGAGAGTAGCTATCAACACTGCTTATAACAATCTGTTGAAGAACAATACACTGACTATATTTGTGTAAAAATAAAATTTGGATTGAAGATTGGAATTAAAATCCAGGTTGTAGAGATGCAAGTCAGATAGTATATGTGTCTAAATAAAGTAAATAATCAATGATACCTTCGATGTCTTTCTGTCTCATATTTTAGTAAATACCACACCAGCGACCATTTTCCACACTTTATACATTATCAATATCCCCAATTTCATCATTAACCCAAACTTATCGATTTCACCTATAAAATAACTCTACCAACAACACCATCACAAAAACGTGCTCAAACACTAAAACCCCTTCTAATAAACCTCTGGATCTAAAACTCATTTCACACTTTCGAACCGGCCTACCTTTAAAAAGCTGAATCCAGAATTCACACAAGGTCAGCCCAGTGAGGCTGACAACGATAGCTCAAACATAGATATTCATATTGCTTTCTTTGACGAATTTAACTGCAAAATCCACATAATCCTTGAACTTCCAAACCCCTTCAGGCTCAGTTTCCTTTTCTATAAAATTTATTCACAATCTGTTCCTCAAAAATCCATAACTTGGTTGCTTTACTTACCAGCAGGCAGATCTCTACCATCAAGGCTTCTATAAATTTAGTTAAAACTTCAAACATCATAATTTTACAGTACGAATTCATCTTAATTTTGCTCTGTTTTTACTGAATTTTAGGGAGATTTAAGACTTTTTGATAGAACTTAAGCTTTGGAGGAAGATTATGTATAGTGAGGAGGGTTTAGGAATAACACAGAATTTTGAAAAATTTGATTTTATGCTTCCAAAAATTGTTGTGGTTGAAAGTTAAAGCAGGATTTGATGAACTTATGGAATGAGTTTTGTTTGGAGTGTGTTAAGGAAGATTGGTTTGGGGATTTTTGGTGTGTAAGCTTTGGGAAATTGTGTGGAAGTTTTATCTTAATTAATGCGACCAAATTTTGATTAGGAGTTATAGAAAAGTGAGGGCTTAAAAGTTGATATATCCCAGAAGAGTTAGTTTAAATAATCACTCTTCTATATTTTCTCAAAATATTACAAAGAGACAAAATTCAATACTCGATGAATTATTAGAATAAGCAAGAATGAAGATTTGTCTTTATCTTGAAATAAGTAATACTCAATAGCTCCTAAAAAATGATAATCCTAGAAGAGCTCTTTGATTTTATTAAGAGAATCGACTCTTGGTTTAAGTACAAAATGGACAAATAGGTTACAATTTTATCGACCAGAATGAATGTAGTTTAATAGAAAATGCCTCAAAATGGTAAGTATAGAAAGAACGTCGATAAATAATCCGATTTCTCCTAATTTCTTTCACAAAATGTTAGTATGTTTGATTAAGGCGTCTAATTTGAAACAAATAAGTTTTGAAAAAATTATTTTTATGATAAAAAAGAGAGTTTCCAATTTTTGAATTATTTCACAAAATTATTAAACTCTTTGTATAGGTAGATATAGTAGGATACGCTATCTATTCCACTTTAAGAATGGAATAACCCCAATTCAGCATAAAATTAATTTAAAAAGTCCTCCAACAAGAAAAATATAAAAACGAGTTTTAACTGTTGTAATTAAAAACTTACTTTCATGCGACTCTGCAACGACTATCCATCAAATCTTGACTAAGATAATCCTCTATACCACCTTTCAACACCAAAATTCAAAACACAAACCCATCAAAATTCCAGCTCTCCCTCTCCACAATCCCCTCCTATAAACACATCTTCTACCTCAAAACCTCTCTCAGATGCCTATTCCCTACCCTTCCACCCCTATTGCCCCTATCTCCTCCCTCTCTCTCTTCCAATCCTCCCATCCTTCCCCTCCTTTAACCCTTCTCTTCCTCCCAAACTTCCTACCTAAATTTCTCTTCTGGTCTATCTCCATTTTTGATAATTTATATTATAGTTTTAAATATAGAGATTTGGGATTGGGGTTTTGGGGTTTTGGGGTTTTGGGG